ACCTGCTGCACATGAGGTGAAACACGGTCACAATTTATTGCACGCTCTGAATCATTGCCCGTCAGCCTCACAAGGCACATTAGAATCGCTAAAGAACTAAAGATGAGTGCAAGCAGGTGGAGCTGAGCACAAGTCGTTAGTACTGTACTTGGGATAATTGTAAAGGAAGGATTTCTCACTTGACCAACGAAGTGTGAGGGTGCCGCCGCCAAATGTTTCAGCATGTGTGTCATTCCGGCACATCGGAACGTTGAAACATTGCAGTAAAGCTAAAAGCCTGAGCCTAACAGAAAGAGAAAGGGCCTGCGCAGTGCCTGCCTTACCAATTCGACGCCGCCCAAGACCGGCCATTACTAACATACCCCGAATGAGTCAAGTAGACCTGTAAATGCCCAAGGTACTGCTAGAGAGTCGGTGCATGCGAACACGAGCGCGTATATAGACATCCAAGACAGGTGATGTTACTCTTACACAAATAACCGCGTTCACTGAAGGCACGTAAAATTTTATCTGTGACAAAGTTAGTGTTCGTTTGCCAAGTGGCAGTCTGGAAGGACTCCAAGGTGAAACGTGGTTATGTAAATAGAATACGACCGTCGGATCAGCGGCTAAAGCGTGAAGAAAGAGCCTATCAGTCACTCACCCAACCATTTGAATGGCGCACAGTGAGCCGCAAGCCAAACTAGCACTGTTGAGTCGAGCCTCGGTCCGTCTATGGGGCTGCCGTCTGCTGCCGTGGTACGCAAATAGCCGCTACTACGCTGCGAGCAGCATTCTTGTACGCATACCCCCACCTTTACATGGGTTGACGGATCTCAGCATCTGCTAGGCAGCTCTAGGCAGTGTGCAGAGAGGATTTTGGGGTAGATGTCAACTCGGGCACACATCCGGCCAGCGCCGGTGAAAATGCACGATTTGGACTATCAGCTTCGAGAACTTCAGCTCATTCGCTGCTCCCTGATGCCCGGAGAAGTCTTCTCATTCGTCCTTCCATCCGAGGATGTGATCATTTGGTCTTCACTGCTAGATGCCCTCGACAACAGCGTAGACAATGGAACTAGACTATCTATTGCGGACACACCCCTGTGTTCCGCAAGGATCTCGGTACGGGTTCCCGGTTCGCCTGATTGATTTGAGGTCCGGGTTCCGGAAGGACCTATAGTACGATGTTTCGACGTGTTCGTAAGGGGAGAAAACATTTCTCGTGACCAACAGGAACATTGGCAATAATGCAGCGAGTAGGTATACTATATCTCTACAAAGTGCTGCGGAAAATGTGACAGTAAAATTCCCTCCGCCATTCCATTACACAGATTCCCGATATATGGGCTACGTTCTCAAACTTCACGAGCACAACGATAATTTGGCTCCGTCAACGTCCACTGGCCCGCCCTCCGAGATTCATTCCTATCAACCGAAAATTTTTCATGCTTGCTTACTCCAGGATGATCTCGATTTCGGAAGCTGGGCTGAAACGTGCCGACCACCACTATAGTGAAGGATGAACCGGACCGGTATAGATTTAGGGCAGCTAATCATGTTTTTCAAGTCACCTCATGGCCGGGATGATACTAACACCTTCCTCCGCTCCAAAATATCGCTGACCAGTTTGACTACATTCGTTGTGAGCTTCCATTGGCGTAGTATATGTACCGAATTGTGGTGCATGCATCGTGCATTCTAGCGAACGGTGACCATACACTACTGGTCGTCTCTGAATCACAGGGCCGACCCTAAAAATTCTTTACTTAAGATGTAAGTGTTTATCCGGTGGCCCATCTGTTCTTTCTCCCATGTCAGATTCGCAGGTCGACGACATCCACGACAACATTACCTCGATTTCCATATCACCTAATGGCAGACATGTTGCCTTTGGGGGAGTTGGCGGCACCCTCACATTTTGGGATGTTGATCGTCGCCAACGTATCCGTCCACCGATAGTGGCACACCAGGGTATCATCAACTCTGTATGTTACTCTGCTGACGGTCACATTGTTGCCAGTGCGTCAGACGACCAAACCATTGGGCTCTGGGACACCATCACTGGACAATCTCTATGGAAAACATTTACCAGTCATCAAGATGGAGTTATCATCGTAGGATTTATGGTGGATGCTAGAACCGCTGTCAGTCTATCAGGGGATGGGGTCGTCCTCGTCTGGAAAGTAGCCACGGGCGAAGTCGAGCAGCAATTCCGAATTTCCCTTGACACCCGCTCTCTTGCCACTCTGTCTCATGATAGTGAGAAGTTGCTCGCAGCTCACAGGAGAGGCATAACGATTTGGGACACGATTACCATGGAGTCCGTCACGACCATTTCTCTCGAAGGCCCTGCGGTCCTTTGCATGGAGCTTTCCTTGGACGCCACGAAGGCAGCATTTGGAATGGCTGACAATAGCATCTGCCTATGGGACCTTGAAAAAGATATCCTGGATCCAACCCACTTAGAGGGCGGCAAGGATTTGCCTTTGTATGTAATATGGTCTCCTGATGGCAAGACTGTGTCATCTGTGGCGCAGAATGCCGCCTTGCAAGTGTGGAGCGTGGAGAGCGGACAATGCATGTCAGAGAGCCACACAACGAGGGGCCCAATTACATACTCCCCTGGTGGCAGATTCATCATTTGTCCAGGGGATGATGGCTCCCCTGACATTTGGGAAGTTCCTGAGGTATGTGCTGATGAAAACATATTGTTGCTGTTCCCTTACTTCGCCATGGAGATGCCTGATCACTCTTCGACATTTTTACTGGATGTATGTCTCCTCTGTCATATTGTTATGGACCATTTCCCCGGCTAAACTTTAATAGTTGCCAGCAGCCGGGGTATCCATGCGCCACACAACTGGAGCTGCGGAATCCGATACTTTTTGGGGTGTATCTGGCGATGTATGCCCGGCTTATCAGCAAATCAGATGCTACTCGTACTAACTGATTCCAGGTTCCAGTCACAAATACCCACCACGTACAACGTCCGAGAGAACTGGAAGGTCCCCCTGGCCGGAACACACCGTCCAGGACTAGACGGTTTTTTACCAAAACACTACAAAGGCTCTCCGCCCGAGGGAAAGAATCCGAACCAATAGCTATGGCGAAGTACAAAAATGTAGGTTTTGGCTGCTGTAGCATCTTCATTTTCCTCATTTCCGACAGCCAGTGGTCGTGGCTCCAGGCACACGCAGGAGCGTGCCCCCAAGGAGACACGTATCGGTTACGCAGGATTTCAGGACCTCAGACATTCCAGACGGTGTAAGCGATGAGTCAGAAGTTACGCCTCGACGTATGTCCAACGAATCTAGGGTTCCGGGCTGTCTGCCGTGCCGTGCGAGTTGGTTCTTTTAGTTTTTGCTGTTCAGGCCAATTTGACACGTGCAAATCTGCCAGGGTGACAGTTGCAATGGTGTTACATCTCCCTCAGTCAGTGCAACATTTTCTCGGCCACCACCTTACCCCCGACGTCGACATTTCCTTTTCCCTGTTTCTTATCATCACACCTCAACTCTTGTACAATCACACAGCCATCGTTGCATGGTGTTTTCTGGGCAAGAAAACAAACCAAATTATTCCGTAGGATGATGGGTGCCTAGGTTTGGTTGATGTTGAGATACCGGATATAATGGAGAAACGCTGTCGTAGGTAGTGTGGAGGCCTTTCCTGGTTTTGTAAAGTCCGTGTATCAGCCACGCACGGCCATGGCCCTTACTGAAAGTTCCTCTCCGACCCACTTGAGGTGAGTTTGGCATGTGAGTGTTCCCATTTGTATCTGATCCTGTGCACGACCCGGAAGTGTTTCTCAGCAGGGGAGACTTCGCCGCTGAATACTATCTGACGTGGCACATCGGACCATCACACGAAAGGTTCGGTCCCTTTAGGGCCAACCTCCTTGGGGAATTTCCTCGGCCTCGTCGGAAACACACACCTGCTAATGACCGACTGTTGGGTGGAGATAGTTTTCCTGTCTGTAAGGTTAGTGGGCACTTCCCAACGCGAGATCATGACACGATTTGCCTCGATGTCCGGCAAAGCTCGCATTTCACGGTATTTTGACTTCAGTCGGTAAGTTTATTTACAGTGCTGCGGTGTCAAGTTGAGAGGAATTTGGGTCGCCCAGGCCCTTACCACATATACTGCGGATTCGGGCCCCCTGCGGCCTTATGAATGTGTGCATGTGCTCTTGCTTGCGAACAGTGCCTGCCAATGCTATGGCGGTACTTGTTTGGGACCCGCCCTACTGTTGGTATGTACTAACCCATGCTGGTTTAACTCGTCTTGGTCCATCAACTCGTGTTTCTACAACCCTGCTGGCAATGAATACTCTTCCAGCTTGGCTGCTGCTTGGGTAGGCGACATCCTCATGCTTTAGGAGTGCAGTAAACTAAGAACAGCGTGGGGTGCACCTCAGCCCTGATTTCGGCTAATATCAATAATGCCGGAGATCGCTACAAATACGTGCCGTGGCCCTGACCAAAGTGTACCACCAGATGCCCTTATCCAAGCCCTCCCACTAGACGTCCAATAACTTCACAAAATTCAAGGTGCATTTGTAAATATGGAATGGCGTTCGGTAGAAGGAAATACCGACTTTTTGTGACCTACTCGCTCGGGTAGGCGAACATCTTATGCTTTGGGACGTAAAATAACTGACAACATTGGTGTCCACATGTTTTATGGTGTGCACTTCCCTCTCTCTGACTAAGTTGCACACTATCAGGTTGTCTATACCCGAACCCTCCCACTCCTTACGAAAAAATTCGGTACGCATGCAACAACTTCACTACAATCCAGGAACATTTGCGAACACACAGATACCCTTCAGTCTATCGGGAGGTATCGCCACTATACATTACTTTGCATCACACCTACATACATAGACGTCTTCCTAGATCGTATACATAAAGTCGCAGCCCTACGCCGCATTTTGTCCCGGGAAGGTGCTTCCTTCCCCAGTGTGTTTTGAAAGTTCGCGTTCCGGGGTAGCTGGGATGCCCAACAAACAAAGACGCTTACGCAGAAGCGGTGACTACAGGAACCCGAGCATCGTCCTCCCCCTCCCTTGCCACAGCCTCACGATGCTGGCGTAACAACCGGTCGAGGGCCTCCTTCTGGCCGACGGCAAGTTCACCGCTCTGGATACCAGAATGGTATACACGCAGGAGAGAATCAACGTCATCCATAGACTGCGTGCGAACGTCAGCAAGCTCCTTGATCTTGGCGGTGGCGTCCTTGATCTAGTGTATCCAAGTGTTAAGGTCCGGTCACCATCCATCCGCTTCACGGGAAACAAGGGACGTACTTCTTCATCAGTCAGCTCGAGACCAAGCTGCTCCACACGAGACTTGACAGCGTTCCATCCCGTCAGCCGGTGCCTGAAACGTGGCACATTAGCCTATAGTCCTCGGGGATTGACCCAGTATGACTTACCCAATTGAGACGTATCGCGTAAGGCCGAAGTCTTCGGGCTTGAGTATCTCGTACGTGCTGGGGTTGTTGAGAATGGCCTTGGCGTGAATACCTGCCTTGTGAGTGAAGGCGCAATAGCCCCTGCGGATGACATTCTGGTCAGTCCATGTCTCTATACGGGCTGAAATGGAAACGGCTAACGTGATGGGGTTCATGAAGGGTACATTTACCTCCACTGCTTCGGCTATGAGGTTCTCCACTTCACGAAGCATGGTGAGGTTGTACTTGGACTTGACGTACTCAGGGTTGGCGGCGTACAGGCAAGCAACGAGGCCGCCCAGAGGGGTGATTCCGACACGCTCACCAATGCCTAGCACGGCTGTTCACAGCAGATGTTCGTCAAACACACATCGCAAACCGAGCAAAAACGCCACTAACAAGTATCGATGTGTGTTGCACCTGCCTCTAGAGCACAGTATGCGTTCGCAATAGCTGATATAATATCAGTACTTTGGAATCGTGTTACCGCTCTAGCAAAATGCGGGCACTCACCCATGCCAGTATCGTTGTGCAGGTGAATTTCGATGTCGCAGCCAACGACGCCTCTCAACGTCCGCACAAGCTCGTACACTTGTCTCGGGTTGGCGCATCCGACAGTGTCCGCGATACCAACACGGTTGACACCGATCTTGTCTACAGTTTGGTATATCGAAAGGAGATCTACGAGGTCTGACCGGAAGGAGTCTTCGGTCGAGAATCGGACCTCAATGCCCTTGGACTTGACGAACTGGATAACTTCTATAGCAGTCTTGGTGATGTACGCCATGTCCTTTCCGTGTGAGAACTCGCGGAGATAAGATGATGTACCAATGACGACATCAACACCGTCGACACCTACGATCATACATGAGATTATCTGAGAACTTGTTTCGCTGAAAAGAGCTTACCAGTCTCAACAGCTATGCGAGCATCGTCCATATGACACCGGATATGTGTCAGAATCTTGGACTTCAAGCCCAGCTTACATATGGCCTCGCAATCAAGACGGGATTGCTCGGATGCAGCGGGAGAGGTGAGTTCGATGTACTCAACGCCAAAAGCATCGAGGGCTTTAGCAATGGCAATCTTGGTCTTGGTGTCAAAGAAAGCATTTGCGAATTGCTCGCCCTCTAATCAGAACAGACCACAATCAATGATCAAGATGGTGAGGGAACAGATAATCAATAAACGTGCCAACAACGTGCAACCGACAATCGAAAAAAGAAGAAGAAAACGTGGTAGGGGTTTATTCCGCGGCCGAATCAAGTAGATGACTGAAATGTGCATGCAAGCTTACCTCTGAGCGTGCTTTCAATGATCTTGAAGTTTGACACGTTGTTGAGGAAATCAGATGCCCTGGGGGCGTATGGATTACGTTTGAGGTGGCCGTTAGTACCATTGACACCGTTAACACCGTTTGAAGAGCCATTCGGTCTTGAGGAACCAGTCATGTCGATTGCAGTCATGTTGTCCTTGTTAAGAGCGGATGCTGAGTCTAAGGATTGGGGAGGGCACATTGCGACAAAGTTTTTATGAAGTCGGATTGTAATATGATCAGGTACACTGGCGGAGGGGTTAGGAAATGTTGATGTTGACGGGTCTTTAAGGATTGAGTGAATTGACTCGAGTCAGACAAAAATTTGCGTGCAGAGTGGCGCTGGGCGCCTGGAACGATGTCGCTTCTCGGCCGATCGGACTCAGCTGCCTGTCTCCAAGCTCCAAGCTCCGTGGGTCTACATTTCTCTGTAATGTTCCTTGGTTGGTCGGATATGTATTACACTCTTGTACATCAGAAACATGCGCAGTTCATTTTGGTACCTAAAGCACAAGCAAGCGACTACCGAACGAAAGGAGAATAGGTATCATATGCGGCCATAGACTCAGAAGTGATCGAAAACGACATTTGAGTGCTGCTCCACATCGCTCCAACTAGTAAGATCTACCGTGTCAGGATTCAGGTGGTGATCCGCAAAAGCGTCAAACTTTGCTCGACACATATTCTCCGAAAAGCGCGTGGTCGTTTGCGAACGCAAGGGACACAGAGGAAGTGGATAAGGTGTACTGTTTCCCGTTGAGAGGGCCATTAACGAACCGCAATGTAGTCGAGGTGACCGCCGACGGTAAGGAATTTATGGAAACGACTTGCTCATGAGCGTGACCGCACGGTAAGTAAACCAAAACTTCACTTTTGTGTTTTCAGTCGTGACATCAAATGCGGCGCGGCGACATGGGTCGCTACGCATAACATGGTGAAGACTCCACATTACCTTCTTGTCTTCCTATCACACTAAATCAACAGTGGTCGGATAAAACCGTGGTTGTCACTCACGTCTTTACGTTCGGCAGCAGCGTCGCCCTTTTTGAACTCAAACGAGATGGCAATATTGTACCATCAATCGGGATCAGAGTTTTTGGTGTTCTCTTTGGCCTGCTGTGAGTCAATACTCTTCTTCTCCACTAGTAGCAGGTATGCACGCGGGAGAGTGGCATTGGACAAATCGGAGAGACGATGACGGGGGCCATGATGCAAATCTAAGAGTTGCTGGGGTATTGGTGAGTTTGCCAGCCTCGTGCGCGACTTCGTCAAAAGCCTTCGAAAGGGGTTCAAACACTTCCTCCTCAGATACATCAAAAACTTTAGCTCCTTAAATGCAGTCCACCCTAAGTCTCGGGACCAAACCTGAGCACCCTCCAGCGAAGTTGTGATTTTGGCGACGTTGATCTGCCCACGAAGGGATGGCTGGCCACAGACTTGTTGAGGGATTTTACCGAGGACATGTAAGGACAGCCGCCTTACCGAGAGCAAGATCCTCCAAACGGTAACCCACTACCGTCATCTCTTTCAGTTTGGTTAGAGTTTCAGATCTGGTGAGCTCCTTTGGCAGCTGCGGTACTTGTCCTTCCATGTCCATAGTTAATCAACAGAACCACGTGGGGCGTGTTCAGTAAGCCCTTAATATGTTCCTTCGATCGATTGTAGCACTCCGTTTAGTTACTCTCGGGGATGATATGACCTCTATTAGTAGCTCTGCCGCGGCCCGCCTACGTACCGTAAGAGAGGGTACTCGAATGCAAAAAAAGACACATTAGCTAAGAAGAGAGATTGGATATGATGATACGGAGGCCTACTGTGGACAAGCGTCGGGAATGACGATGTTCTCCGGTAGGGAAGACTTGAGGCATGCAGGCCGTTAAGAATGTCATGGAACAAGTGGCAGCAGACGATCATTCGGTCTCCGGAATGACCGCTAATGATTCGAGGAAGCGATTTTCTGTTTCTCCAGCTGGTGTCTTTTACCTGCAAAATTACGTTGGGCCGATTGGAATGGCGAACACTCGTGGAGCTTAAATAGTCTTCGAACCCTGAAGTGTACGGTGGATGAGGACATCGAGCGCGGTCGTGGCAAGGAGCAGCATCACTACTTCAGCGAGTATCCCATGTTATGGAGAATATACTGGCGTTCAAGACTTGGGTGCGTGGTTGCGTAAGATATCACCTGCGCGTTTTGATCCTAGAGACCGTCACGTCCGGCCTCGATCGGGAAACGACGCGTTCGAACCAGTGAACCCATCGTGACCTGGCACTTCAACTATGTGAAGCGGAATCAAGGACAAGAGGGATCATCGATTCGTCATCTGGTCCCGACTACTTGTTACCAACAACCAATAGAGCTGTTTACGCAAGTTAGTGCCTACTTGCAACTGCCTGCAACGACTCACCCCCTTCACAAGTGAGTTACATGTAGCGGTTGCACTCCTTGGTATGAGATTTTAACGCGCAGCCTTCGGCACCAAATAACGCAAAGAGGCCAAGCACACGATACCTCCAGGATCGAGGTATGACGGTGAGCTGGTGACTCCGGTAGCGCGACCAGAACACTCCGCAGTTTCGAACTTCGGCAATTGACAACATGTGTATTTATCCAGGTTCTCGCCCTACGAAGGATCTTCAGTCCTACACTCGGTGATAATTCAATTTGCTAGAAATTTAGGTACACCCACACTGCATTCCACAACTGACTTCAGGAATCTCTGCCTTGGGTGCCTAAATGCCGCACTGTTGGGTCAATTTCCTTGTCGGTGAGTATACCGCGGTCTTAAAAAGTCTCCTTCAACTACCCGTTCTCGTCACCGGTATGGTTCTCTGTTTGGAGTTTCGCAGGGCAGATGCGAACCTCCGAGGAGATATGAATTTCTCCAAGGACTTGTCCACAAGTGGACCCACAACACCAAATACATGCCAAACAAACCGTGGATACACAATTGAGCGCAATGGGTATGCCTTGTTTTCTAAATTACAGCAAGCCCTTCTATGCAGCGCAGCCATGCATGCATTTTTACGCTTACTAGTCTGCCGCAGGAACACGTCTTTGTATCCTGAAGTCAGCGTGTAATTTGGCCTTATGCAACCGCTGATCCTGGGAGGTCATAAATTTCGCCATCAGCGATACATCTTCCATCTTCCACCTCCCCATGCCGAACGGACGACCGCAACCTTCCCCAGGGATCAGCCCCGCACATAAATTTTTCTATCTAACGTATTCACCTTCTGGTTCCCGCATTGTTGGCGGAAATGTGGAGGGAGAACTTTACGTCTGGGATGCACCTTCTGGTAATCTTGTTCTGGGTCCCCTTAAAGGTCACTCAGAGGAGAGTACGCTATCCCACATCTGCTTCTTCTCTGAGGAAATATTTCTCACTGCCTCCACCGACACTACCGTTCGTCAATGGAATTCAAGGACGGGGGAGCTCATCGGAAAGGCTTTCACTGGCCATGACGAAGCAGTTTGCGAGACAGCTTGCCTTGTAGACAAGAAGATCGTCGGCAGCGTAGCGCGGTATGGTCAGCTATTGACCTGGCACATGGACACATTGGAGATCTTTAGGGAGATGCGCGTTATAGTAGCCTCTAACCAAACAGTCGCCTTTTCCCGGGACGGAACCAGGTTGGTTGCAGCTCACTGTGACGCGATGCGCATCTATGACGTGGAGAATTGCCAGCAACTTGTTGAAGTCAACTTAGAATCACGAATGATACCCTTGTTGTTAACGGTTGCATTCGCTCCAGACTCAAGGTCGATCTACTTCTCCAGTGGTGGGGCGATGGTGATCTGGAATGTCGAGAAGGAGGATTTCGAGGATGAAGTCTTTGTAGGTTCTGATGGAATAGCTATGATCAGCCGGTGCTCTCCAGACGGCAAGTTGGTCGCCACCTCCTACGATGATGGCAAGACGTATGTCTGGTCAACTGCTTCTCGGGAAGTCATCAAAATATTTGACGACAACGGCCCGTTCGCATTTTCTTCTGACGGTTGTTATTTTACACACCTGTTACGCGGCACAAAACTCGCTATAAATGATGTGAGGAAGGTAAGCTCGTCTTCTATGATCTCTACACATTCACTTGCTGAAGACTGGAAAGTACCTGCCCTTAGACCCCTCGTCATGGCTGGATGTAAGTATTGGGTTCAGTTTTCTATCTTTCGCGTTTAAAGCGCCTATTCTACAGCACCCAGCGACGAACCGGGTGGCGGAGGCAGAGAAGGAGCGACTAGACGCCGTTTTACAGAATGATTTTTTCCATACGGAAAGGGAGGAGCCAGTACGTATGAATTATACCTCGATAGTCCACCCTTTCCAATCATCTATTGCATTATAGGACTTCATGCCGGAACCTCCAGTTCGGAGGCTCGAAGAGAACCCTTCGTTGCCAAGCTCGGACCTCAAGACTCGGGGAACAGGCCTGATGTCCAAACTCTTCCGGCGACACAAACGCTCACCAAGTGCCCAAGAAAGCGAGCAGGTTTCATTGGAGATCGTGTACACTGCACGTGATAAGAGGGTGTGTACTTATAATCACGCTTCCCTGTTGATGTGGATTCGATCGACGTTGTACAGCCTTTGATCGTCGCAAGTCGAAGCGATACACGGACACAAGAACGAAGCAACGTAGATACGACACTAGATCGGGTAGGTTGCTCTGGGATGCTTGTAATAGATATCTGACGGGGGCGATAGCGTGACACGACTTGGACTATAACATCCAGCTCTCCGTCTGTAGCTGATGAGGGGGACGCGCAGGCTATTGAGGGTGAACACCATGGCTGTTGTTATGTGTGCTGTTTCAAACGTGAATTATTTCGGTTTCCATTGTTGCCTTCGGTTGCTGACAGCAAGCAACAGTGTGTTAAACCAATCAAATCTACACATGCACCCGATGATCAGATATTATAATCCCGTCTCGGTACGACCCCCTTCCGCGCATAGACTACGCTATACTTCACGCACCTACGTGACGATTCATGGTGCTTCAAGGTCTATTTTCCGCTCTGCATTTCATTGGCTGTCGAGTGTTGCTTTCGTTACTTGCAATCCATGCTATCTACAATTTTACCCCCTGATGTACCCATACTAACGTTTTTGTAGAGCAAGTACGTATCCATGGCTACTAGAATGTCATGTCATGTCATTCCAAATTTCCTCCTCGAACGCATGAATCCATACACAGGATGTCCCATGACAATAATGATGGCACTCACGAGTGTGCACGAACACGAAGAGGGCGGTTCAGATGTCATGGCGACACAGCTATCTCAGGCACAGGCTATCCTCTACATACGATGTATTGAATCAACGTTTCATAGCCTGCCAGCTTCATTGATGGCCCACCTCAGGACTTGCATCGCCTCGTATGTCTAGTCGTATTCCAAATGAGGCAACTGAGTATGTTCGACGCATGCGCTGATTCTGACAACCGCAAGCAATGATCATCCCCAGCTGATGCATCCTGTGCAAGGCCCATCTTGAGTTGTCCAACAATGATTGCTTGGATTGATGGCAACAGTCGTTTATGGGGCTGAGCATATTTCCAATACATGCAGGAAAATGAGTATTTAAACCCCCAACGCGTCCACCCATGGTTCTCCAGCAAGTCTCACCTTTCTATTGTTTCATTTACCAACTTTCCTCTACCCAAGTCCTGTGAGTGAACTCTCCTATTTCACTCTTCTGAGTCGCAACACTCACGGACATTCATACACATCAATAGCTTCTTTTTTTTGACGAGCCATAATGTCTCTCCGTACCGATCGCGTTCGCATCACCGGCAGCTTCAAGCGCAAGGAGGGTGTCTCCAAGGAAGATTTCGATAACTTCTGGCTCAACGAACACCCGAAGCTTTTCAACTCTCTTGACGTCGTCAAGAAGAACATCCTCAAGTATGAGCAGGTGAGAACACGCTCGACATGGCTCGATTGATCAACGTGGAACTGATGGCTTTGGGACCCCCTACACAGGCTCACGCCAATGAGGTTGTTTCCAAGACTCTCGTCGATTCCGGTCTCAATGTCGCGCCATTCGACGCGATGGCTGTCTTCGAGGCCTCCACTTTCGAGGCCCTTATGGAGGTCTTCAAGAGCGACGAGTACCGCAAGACTGTCGGTGCCGAGTCTATCAAGTACTTCGAGCGTGGCGGTCAGATGTTTGCTGCTAACTTCGCAACTATCACAGACAACTAAGGTAAGTGAATCCCAAGTTCGCGCATGCGCTTTCTGGCTAAACGAGCGCAGTCAGTCACGGCACTTTCAATTAAAGCTCCTTGTAGTAAATTAACCATTAAATATGACGCACGATAAATGTCACTGTTGGCTTAAACATAACATGTCTGACCGTAAGTTGGGAGCATTAGATGACATTGAGGCGCCTGGTCACAACGGAGGCAACACAATATATCAACTTGCACACTTGCTGAAAACAAGGGTTATATTCTCGGATATCTGTGTCTAATCATGTCTGATCCGTTGACAAGCGCTTCGCATATTTTTCCAAAGCCCTGGTAAAGATCGCTACTCTTTCAGCTACGATTGACGAGGTTGTCGAGCACCACTTACCGAACTGGACGACCAGTCATCCCTTTGCCTTGATATGGTATTGGGCGGGTGAACTATTAAGTACAACTAGATCGGCAACTGGCGCCAAACAAAAAAATCAAGTCTAGAGCCCACCTCCATTTTTCGAGCAATATCCAGATGCGCCCATTGCACGGTCGACTCAAAGCCATCTTTGGGTTCAATACCATCGACGAAAGATTTCAGGAACAACGCTGCAGTGCACGAGCCAGTTGGCTTGCCGCCAGTCTGCAACCCAAGTTCCCAGAGTAACCACAAGAACTGTATGACATACGTTGCATAGATCAGCTTTGGATGAATAAATGTGTGGTCCGTAGTCTTCGTCGAGTGGCATACGCCAGAAACGATCGTATTCAGTTTCTCCTGCCGCGCTCAACTTCTCTCGGAGCTTACCTGATAATTGTACCAATGGAAAGCGTAAACGGGAGTGACGCCAACGACGTTGATGCTCTGGGGAGAAGGTCCAGCGAAGCGTATGTGCCAAGTGGGGGAGTTCGAGTTGAGCGATCACTAAGATCGAGGAGACAACAACGCAGCACCACCTGCAAGGTATCGGAATCCAACTCATCTACCGCATGCCACGCCACCTTACCCATGTCACCTCGCATGACCCTGAATCAACTTGCCAGCTAACGTCGTAAGACAAGTTCGAGATCTTGAACGGACTTTCCATTCTGTTGAATGCTGGCTGGCCAAGCCACGAGGCAGAAGCATGTGGATCCTGATTTGGATCTCGTTGATGGTCGGTTATTAATTACGAGTCTTCGGCTCGCGGCTGCTTCGCAGCCTCCCACTACCACCGGCAGGGGTGGGAAGAGTTTTAAAGGGAAGAGCTGCATCCAGCCCACATTTCAAGCCAAGTGGTACAATTTGATATTACATATTACATATGTACACAGTTACAGATCATATGTTCAGATGTCTAAATACTTCAGGCCAGACTACATTGCTTGTCTTGGTATCATCCTGACCTTCTCTAGACAGAACCTTTATCCTCCTGGGATGAGTACAACATGAAAGAGCCACATAAAGCTGCCCATGAGAGAAAACTGCAGAGTGCAAGTCAATCCCCACATTCTTTACTGACTGCCCTTGTGACTTGTTGATGGTCATTGCATAGGCCAGGTGCACAGGGAACTGCATTTGATGAAATGGCACAGGGGAATCCTCAAGCCCAGTGTCAAGAGCAACCCTGGGGATCAACACCACATCTCCTTCTCCATCCTCCTTCATCACTCTACACTCCAAGATCTTGTGTGTGGATCTCACCAGCCTCAACCTAGTTCCATTGTAGAGTCCATGGATGGGATCCAAGTTGTGCAACAGCATCAGAGGTGCTCCATTCTTCAGCTCCAGTTTGTGCAGGGGAAATCCAGAGGGGGACAGGGAGTGCAACACCTCTGGTTGGATGTACTCATACTCCTGGTCAGTCGCAGAGTCTGCACTGGTATAGGTGTACTTCTCCTGTGGTTGCACAGTTTCCAAGATGGTAGCATTTATCTCATGCACCTGGGCATTCTTAGAGGTCAGGATGGTATGATCCAGGAAGTAGCCATCAGGAAGTTGCTGGTGCTCTGCCTCATGTTGGAGTTGGTAACCTGCTGGTAGCTGGGATAATAATGTGGTGGAGGGAGGGCAGGAGGATTGTTGTTTCTCTGGTTGTGTCTGTGCTGATGATGCCTCTCATGGTCATGATTAAACCCCTCTAGCAATCAAGCTGTGTAGTCCACATGCTGAGGAGGGTTCTGAGGTGGTGGTGCTGGAGGGGGAGCAAAGTTGTGATAGCCCATAGGTTGCTGCTGATAGGGGGGAGCATCAGGAAATTAACACTTTACTATTTTTGACCTTTTTGTGACTTTTTTTGACTTGTTTGTGACTATTGTGACTATTTGTGACTTTTTGGGAAGGAACCTACTATCTGTACTTTTTTTTTGACCATATACAACATTTTGAAGAATGAAAAGAGAACAGAATCTATTGAGACAACTAAGTGATGATATATCTAAGCCAAGAAGACTAGAAAATGTCTGAAAATTCAGAGATATTGAGCCATTGGTGTGATGCACACTGTCTGAGAGAAAAATCACAATATCTCTTTGGAACCTCCATCAATTTGAATGTATGTGGTATCTACTGAAAGCTATGAATTAGGTGGTTTGAACAAGACCAAAATAAGCAAGACCAGTGCAGCCATGCCTGCAGGACATGGGTAATGATAGTAGATTCCTTCCCAAAAAGTCACATTAGTCACAAAAAGTCAAAAATAGTAAAGTGTTATTTTCCTGATGAGGGAAGGGCCTCATTTGATGTTGTAGGAGTTGTGGGGCAAGAGGCTGCATTGGATGGGGTGGTGGGGCATGTACAGAGGAGGGGGTGGAGAATGATGCATTTGATGCAGAAGTTGCACATCATGATGTGCTATGAGGTGATGTGGAATGCTAGGATACTGCTGTACTGGCACAGGAGGATGGGTCTGACATATATAGTCAATCTCACATGTGTATCGGACATGGAATGTGACTTACAATCAAAGCATGAGGAATGTTGGGAGGCATCTGGTGGGGAGGGTGATGTGGTTGGTGATGGGATGGAGGAGAGCCAAGGACTCATTGGTCATATTCAGCCTGGTGAGCAGTGCTCTGGGCATGCTGTGGTGAAGTGGGGGGGGGAGGACCTCATGGTTTGAAGCAAAGCAAATTGGATGTAGGGCTTGAGGAGCAATAAAGGGGACCAAGGATGAACCACTGAAGTCACTCTGTGCCTGTGCCAGACCTTACTGACTGGAACTTGACATATGACAGAGCTAAAGGCAAAAAGCCCAAGACAAATTGAATGGTAACTGCAAGCAGGAGTGACCCCACCTGGCCTGTAAAGGCCCCACCAAACAGGTCTCTACTCTGTAGTGATGACAGAGGTCCCAGCCTCAGAGAGGCCTCAGCAACCAGCAGACACATAGAGTTGAATCTATGAAGCTAGGTAGTAGGGACTTGTCAACATGTTTGTCTTGGTCAACAGCTTTCACTCCAACACCTGCACACAAACTTTTGCCCAAAGTTCCTAGGTCTCTGTCACTGGTGAGTCTATAGACATTTCTACAATGTTCAGGAAGCATTTTTGACCTCCTTCTGTGTTCACCTTTAGTGAAGTTTGACTGCATTTTTGGCTTTTTGGGTGCCATTTCTTGGGCATCATTTGTATAGGAAGCTTTGGTGAGTGTTTCACATCTATCTGGAGTTGGTATGGGTATTATGGCCATACTAACGGATTTTTTCACATTTTTCAGACTATTTTTTCTGCATTTTTGTGCAATTGGTGCATATTCTCTCCCCTTGCCCATCACTCATCCACCCCATTCATCAATTCCCCTGATTTTAGCTGCTGTTTTTTCTTTGTTGGGAGATTTTGACACTTTTTATTATCATCATAGATTTCCTGGGCCTTTGGGTGTCCCTGGATACTTGCTTTGTGCAAAGTTGTGCAACAATGTGCCAAAAATGACCTGAAAATGTGAAAAAATGCATTTAGTATAACCAAAAGCCAAATTTTCTTGCCAACATGGGAGGTACCCACCAAGCACTTCTGGATGGAGAAAGGCCAAGTAATGCCTGCAAAAAAAACCAAAATTGCAGCCAAAAAGTGAAAAAAAAAGGACAGAAAAAGACCCAAAAAGCCAATGAAATGATCTCAGTGCACTCCTGAGCATGGTAGCAGGTTGATAGGCTTACCAGAAGTGGAGGGAAACACTGAAAATGGTCAAAAATGCGAAGGATATGGGCCTTATCAGTCAGAGATTTCCTTATCTGGATCATATGTAGCCAAGATCAGTGCAATCAGTGCAAACACTGACAGTTCTAGCAAATCTTCTGGTGTGTCAAGTGCCTCAATGGAGAGCTACAGGGAGGGAGAAGGGGGGGGAAGCTTGCAGACACAGCACAGCTAACTACAGGAGGGACAAGGACAGCACAGGGACAGTGGACAGCAGCCTGTCATGGCCACATGGCTTTTATTGTACAAAAAGGAAAAACACATGGCATTAGCGACCGTAGCGAGAATTGCGAACTACATGAACTATGCATCGACTATTGGCAACCGGGCATTGGGCACAGTCCCCCTTCACCTCGCACGTGACCATTCACCGTTAAACTTATTGATTGGTAAGTGTTTGTCTCCAGTGGCACTGAAAAAAACCCCCAAGGAATCTGACCCTGAAATCTGCCTGTTGTGCGATAGTGCGATGGCCCACACTAGATACTCTCGATCCCAGATACCCGCTTGTATGCGGATAATTTCCCCTATCGAAATACAATTTCAGAGCATGTACGCCATCGAATACAAATAAGAAGACTAGATTGTGGACCTTCGCATTCAACTCGGAGAGCACATAGTCTATGCTCGAACCCTGACCGAAGGGTGGGGTAGCCCATAAAGCCCTTCAACCCATCTACAACAGAGCCTTCCTATCATATCCAGTAATGAATCTTAGATGATGGTATGATCATTCAATGCTTCTAGGGGTGTATCTAGCGATGTACGTCCGGCTTATCAGTAAATCAGATGCTACTCATTACTAACTGATGCCAGGTTCCAATTACGAATACATAACGCATACGATGTCAAAGGGAGCCGGAAGGTCCCACTGACTGGAACAGACCATGCAGGATTAGAAGCTTCCTTTCCAAACCCCTGGCTCTCTTCAGGTATAGCTACGGTGGAGTACGAAGATGTACACCTTGGTTGTTATCGTAACGTCTGCATTTTCCTCATGTCCAACTTAGTACATTTTCTCATTGCCGACAGCCAGTCGTGGCTTCGGGGACACAGAGGGGAATGCCTCAAATGGAAAGCATAATGGCTATGCAGGATTTCAGGACACCAGACACTTTAGATTGTGTATGTTCGTTGAATCTGGCGCTTCCGGGCTGTTCACTATGTTGTATAGCCAGGATCTTTTCGTTTTCTCTGTCAAGTAACTACGGATGCAAATCTACCAGGGTGATAGTCCCGATGGTGGTATATTCCCCTTATGCAGTGCAGCATTTCCTTGGCCTGCTTGTAATGAATCGGTAATCACCGCATGCCGGCACCTTTCCCCAATGTCGTTCCTTTCCTTTCCTTCCTCAATCAGGTGTTTTCCGGGCTTCATCTTTCGTAGTTCCAACTGTCTGGTGCATGGATACGGAGATCACACGCAACTAGTCAAACTAACTCGGGAGAGTGGCCATCAACGGTGTAGCAAGAAAGCGCACGTTCAGTAAATATGTCGAAGAGTGATGAGGCGTCTCCACGACGAAATGAGGGAACAGCAACAATATATTTTCATCAGCACATACCTGTGGAACTCTCTAACTATGAGGGAAGACATTATCGCTGGGGAAGACAACAAGTGCCATCAGGCAAATATGTAATCAGACCCCCTTGAGCGGTGACTCTCTTGTCCGCCTTCCGCGCCCCAATTCAACGGCAAAGTTTCCCCTGCTGAGAAACACTTCAGGGTCGTGCACAGGATCGGATACAAATGGGAACACTCACATACCAAACTCACCTCAAGTGGGTCGGAGAGGAACTTTCAGTAAGGGCCATGGCCGTGTGTGGCTGATACACGGACTTTACAAAGCCAGGAAAGGCCTCCACACTACCTACGACAGCTTTCCCCCATCATATCCGGTATCTCAACATCAACCAAACCTAGGCACCCATCATCCTACAGAATAATTTGGTTTGTTTTCTTGCCCAGAATACACCATGCAACGACTGGTGGTATGATTGTACAAGAGTTGAGGTGTGAGGGTAAGAACAGGGAAATGTCGACTTCCCCATCATATCCGGTATCTCAACATCAACCAAACCTAGGTACCCATCATCCCATGGAATAATTTGGTATGTTTTCTTGTCCGGAAAACACCATGCAACGACGGTGGTATGATTGTACAAGAGTTGAGGTGTGAGGGTAAGAACAGGGAAATGTCGACATCGGAATAACGTAGTGGCCGAGAAAATGTTGCACTAACTAGGAAGATGTAACACCATTGAAACTATCACCCTGGCAGATTCGCACGTGTCAAGTTGGCTTCGACAGATAAAAACGGAAAGAAGAATCAACTTGCACAGCATGGCAGACAGCCCGGAACCCTAGATTCGTTGGACATACGTCGGGGCGTAACTTCTGACTCGTCGCTTACACCATCTGGAATATCTGAGGTCCTGAAACCCTGCGTAACCGATACGTGTCTCCTTGGGGGCACGCTCCTGCACGTGTCTGGAGCCACAACGACTGGCTGTTGAAAATGAGGAAAACTAAGATGCTACAGCAACCGAAACTTACATTTTTGTACTTTGCCATAGTTATTGGTTCGGATTCTTTCCCTCGGGCGGAGAGCCTTTGTAGTGTTTTGGTAAAAAAGCGTCTAGTCCTGGATGGTGTGTTATGGCCAGGGGGACCTTCCAGTTCCCTCGGACGTTATACGTGGTGGGTATTTGTGACTGGAACCTGGTATCAGTTAGTACGAGTAGTATCTGATTTGTTGATAAGCCGGGCATACATCGCCAGATACTCCCCCAAAAGTCTCGGATTCCGCAGCTCCAGTTGTATGGCGCATGGATACCCCAGCTGCTGGCAACTATTAAAGTTTAGCCGGGGAAACGGTGTATAGCAATATAACAGAGAAGACGTACATCCAGTAAAAATGTCGAAGAGTATGAGGCATCTTCATGGCGAAGTAAGGGAACAGCAACAGTATATTTTCATCAGCACATACCTCGGGAACTTCCCAAATGTCAGCGGAGCCATCATCCCCTGGGCGAATGATGAATCTGCCGCCAGGGGAATATGTAATTGGGCCCCTCGTTCTGTGGCTCTCTGGCATGCATTGTCCACTCCCCGCGCTCCACACTTGCAAGGCAGCATTCTGCGCCACAGATGACACAGTCCTGCCATCAGGAGACCGTATTACATACAAAGGCAAATCCTTGCCGCCCTCTTAAGTGGGTTGAATCCAGGTTATCTTTTTCTAGGTCCCATAGGCAGATGCTATTGTCAGCCATTTCGAATGCCACCTTCGTGGCGTCCAGGGAAAGCTCCACGTAAAGGACTGCAGGGCCTTCGACTTCGAGAGAAATGGTCGTGACGGACTCCATAGTAATCGTTTCCCAAATCGTGATGCCTCTCCTGTGAGCCACGAGCAACTTCTCGCTATCATGAGACAGAGTGGCCAGAGAGCGGGCGTCAAGGGAAACTTGGAATCGCTGCTCGACTTCGCCTGTGGCTACTTTCCAGACAAGGATGACCCCATCCCTAGATAGACTGACAACGGTTCTAGCATCCACCATAATCCTACGATGATAACTCCATCTTGATGACTGGTAGATGTTTTCCATAGAGATTGTCCAGCGATGGTGTCCTAGAGCCTAATGTTTGGTCGTCTGACGCACTGGCAACAATGTGACCGTCAGCAGAGTAACATACAGAGTTGATGATACCCTGGTGTGCCACTATTGGTGGACAGATACGTTGGCGACGATCAACGTCCCAAAGTGTGAAAGTGCCACCAACTCCCCCAAAGGCAACATGTTTGCCATTATGTGATATGGAAATCGAGGTAGCGTTGTCGTGGATGTCATCGACCTGCGGATCTGACATAGGAGAAAGAACAGATAGGCCACCGAGAACTAATCTAAAAAATACTTAAGTAAAAAGAATTGAAAAATCTGACATGGGAGAAAGAACAGATGGGCCACCGGATAAACACTTACATCTTAAGTAAAGAAAATTTCACTTGTGCAGCCAAGGTGTCCGTAGCGGACTTCTTTTTTGGAAAACATTGATGTCAGCGCAGACTAGAGATTCAGAGACAACCAGTAATGTATAGTCACCATTCTCTAGAACGCACGATGCGCGTACCACAAATCGTTACGCATACTACGCCAACAGAAGCCCACGGCGAACGTGGTCGAACTGGCCTGCAATATTTGGGGGGCGGTATCAGCATCATTCCAGCTTAGGGCACGGTTGAAAAGTCGGGTGTTTAAAACAGCTATTAAAAATACCTGTTAATAACCCTGTAAGAAAGTCAGACATGAATTGGGGCTGTGAAAAATTGTGAACAATTCCAGAAAGGCTAAGACCGCTGGAGCAGCTGTATAGCACTTATTTTGGTTGAAGAATAAAGTACGGGAATGCTTCTGTGACCTGTCGTCGACCATCCGAGCTTCTCATGCCACTCCCGGCTGCGGGGACTATTCTTCCGGCCGAATTTCCTCACTTTTTACTAATCACCTAGATGGCCGATTGCCAATCGAAGAGCGTGGTCCCCTGATTTTTCTGCGGTCAAATGTATTCCGTCACTTTCGCCCCCCGGCCATGAGGTGAGTTGAAAAACATGTTTAACTCCCCTGAATCTATACCGGTCCATTCATTCTTCACTATAGTAGTGGCCAGAGGTTCCAGCGCAACTTCGGAAACCGGGACCGTCCTCCTCAGAGCACCGTGAGCGTAGCAGAATTTTAAACCACTGGATTGGAAGCACTTGCACAGCAAAACAAGAGCACGCGGTGCTGATTTGACTCCTTTCATTTCCGGCGATCCTTAACAGTGCCTCGCGTGAGACAGGACATGCCAGTAGCCGTAAGTTTCAAAGATAACATCAACTTGAGCGTCACGGCTATGACCACACTACATATTGGAACAGTTATGCTGGCAAAGTATGTTGGACCAACGCTTATCTATCGCTCACTATTCTTTCTGTCCCCCTCTTGCGCGGTTGCCAAACGTTCTTGTACCCAGCGATCCCTCGTCACCGATCGGAAGCCACATGTCAAGAAAACTTGTAGTCCAACGATGTTCACATGCTGTGGGAGGCGGTAGCTTGTCCGCCGATGTACTACCTGGGACCGAGGACGAGATAATGCTGGACGGTCACCCTTTGGCGTCTGATACGACACTAAATGCCCACAGACCAAAGTTCGTCGACCCCAAGTGTTGTTACCTGCTTGACGGGCGATCGACTGGATGTTCCCTTTCACGTAGTTATTTATGTCCAGGCCCGCCCACTTCTATCACCGCACAACGTGCCGCCGCTGACGGACCTAGTCGAAGAGAGCATATGTATGATACTCCTATCATGCACCACGCGCACTCCCCGCGAGTCATCACCTGTGCTATGCAATCACGTACTACCACGACGCGCCTGCGAAAGTCTGCAGCCATCGTGCGTGTACGGGTGCTTTTGTGGAAAGGCCACCGCTGATGACCTCTCAGCTTAATCGCATATGGCCGCAGAACTTGGGCAGTGACACCCCCGTTGTTGGGTAGGTCTCCTTCATCATAGTCTCTGCATTCTTCCCCTACCGACATAACCCCCTTTGCGTTAAGAACCACCTCCCAGTCACCAATATTGCCTCATATAGACACGGTAAGTAATTTACAGGAGAATCGCAAACACCCGTGGAATCGTTTTGGCAGGGTCCCTCTATCATGAAATTACTTCTTCCTGACAAGCGGTCACTCTCTGACATGAGGCTTCCTCCTATCGAACCTATGGATGTGAGATTTCTGTTTACCGCTGTCCCCCACAGCTCGTCATTTGTCATAGCCAACTATCCACATGCCCTCGCTGCTAGATGCAGCTGAGGAAAGTCGCAAGTTATCGGAAGACGTCGGGGAGGCCAACGAAACCTCTATGATCCCCCGAATTCCCTCGGTTAGTAATGTCCAATTCATTGCTATCGTGGAAAGAGAAGTTTTTTTCATGGTACTCATTATAACATGCAGGGCAGTACTCACTCGCGTCGCACGGGCGTTCAACATAGAGCAGACGGGGTCAATGATGTGGGTTACTGTCGTTCTATAGGCAGCAGAACGTCTGCTATAAATGTAAGTGTTCAGCCCACAGCTATTTTATTGCTGCCTGCTTAGAAGGACTAGCTCTTTTCCTCAGGAGGTCTGCACCATGAGGATGGAAATGCGAACGAGGTCCATGGTCAATCTCACGGCACAGAACTCGCTACAAACGATGTGAGAGAGGTAGGCTCGTCTCCCATGATTTCTACGCACTTACTTGCTGAAGACTAGAAAGTACCTTCCCTTGGACTCCTCGTCCTTGCTAGATGTAAGTATTGAGTTTTGTTTTCCATGTTTCGTGTTTCAAGCGCCTACTCTACAGCATCCAGCCACGAGCCAGCCAGTGGAGGCAGAGAAAGAGCGACGGGGTGCTGATTTTCAGAGTCATTTTTTCCAAACGGAAAGGGAAGAGCCAGTACGTATGAGTCATACTATGATAGTCCGCCCTTTGCGATCATCTATGGCGTTATAGAACTTCATGCCAGAACCTGCAGCTGGAGACAACCCTCCGTCGCCAAGCTCGGGCCTCAAGACTCGGGAAACAAGCCTGATGTTCACATTCTTTTGGCGACGTAAACACTCACAAAGGGCCCAGGAGAGCGAGCAAGTCTCGTCAGAGATCGTGTACACTGCGCGTGATAAGAGAGTGAGTGCTTATAATCATGTCTCTTCGTTGATGTGGATTCGATCGACGTCATATAGCCTTTGGTTGTCGCAAATCGAAACAGGGACGCACGCGCACAAGAACGAAGCAACGTAGACACAACATTAGACCGGGTAGGCTGCTCTGGAATGCCTTTTATGAATTTCTAACGTGGCTATAGTGCGACACTACTTGGACCGCGACATCCAGCTCACCGTCTGTCGCTGATGGGGGAAACGCGCAGGGAATCGATGCTGAACACCATGGCTGTTGTTACGTGTGCTGCTTCAAAGGTGAATTATTGTTGACTCCCTTGTTTCCTTTCCTACCTGATAGCAAGCGGCAGTGCGTTGATTCAATGAAGTTCACATGGGGATGATGATCAGGTATTATAATCCCATCTGGACTTGACGCCCTTACGAACAAGGTCAACGTTATACTTCATGCATCTTCATGATGGTTCATGATGCGTTCAGATCTATTTCCATTGTCGATCTGTCGGGTCTTGCTCTCGTTACCCATGATCCGTGCTGTCTACAATCACATCCCCGATGTATCTATACTGAGCCTTTTGTAGAGCAAGTAGGTACTCGTGGCTACAAGATTGTGATATCACGTTTTGCCGAATTCCCATTCTAAACACATGTACCCATGCTCAGGGTGTCCATCAAGTGCTTCGAGCGCAACAGTCAGATGTTTGCTGCTATAATGTAAAATAGCTCATTAATTCTGACCCACGATAAATGTCATTGTCGGCTTAAACATGCCTGACCGTGAGTCGGAAGTATCAAATGGCGGTGAGGGTGCCTCGTCACGACAAACAGACGCAATGTAAGATTTCAACTTGCACACTTGCTGAAAACAATGGATATACTCTCGGATATCTATGTCTAATCATGCCTGATCTGCTAACAAGCTCCTCGCATATTCCACCAAAGCCCTGGTAACGATCGCTGCTCTTTCAACTGCGATTGACGGGAGAGTCGAGCACCACTTACCGAACCGGACGACCAGTCATCCCTTTGCCTTGGTATAGTATCGGACGAGTGAACTAAGCACAGCGAAATCAACAACCGGCGCCAAACAAAAACCAAGCCTGGAGCTCACCTCCATTGTTCCAGCAATATCCAGATGCGCCCATTGCACGGTCGGCTCAGAGCCATCTTTGGGTTCAATACCATCGACGAAAGATTTCAGGAACAACGCTGCAGTGCATGAGCCAGCTGGTTTGCCACCAGTCTACATATAGCCGTCAGCTCAAGTTCCCAGAGTGATTACGAGAATTATACGACATACGTTGCATAGATCAGCGTTGGATGAATAAATCTGTGGTCCGTAGTCTTCATCGAGTGGCATACGCCAGAAACGGTCGTATTCTACTTCGCCCGCCGCGCTCAATTTCTCCCAGAGCTTATCCGATGTCTGTACCAATGGAAAGTGTAAAGGGGACCCTCCTCTAAAGAAGAAGAGCAACGCACAGTGAAAACCCCCGAATAGACCTCACCCAGAGCTACATCCATGGCCCTGTAGGGAAGTCAAGTAATAGTACGAAACAGCGAGATCTGGCTTACCCCGTCAGAGTGGCCACGTCGATGAGGGTATGTGGTTTGAACTCAGTGGATGCATAGTAGAGAGCATCTACGAGTTCAGATTAACAGGGGAAAGGGGGGAGGGAAGGTAATGCCACAAGTGATCCTGACATACCAGCAAGGATTAGGCGTCCTTCCGCGTCTGTGTTGTCAATCTCTACGGATTTCCCGTTCATGGCATAGACACTAAGCGCGAAATCCGCCGATCAGGAGCCACAATGAACACAACGACTGCTACATACATGTCGCCAGGTTTGTTCGCACTAGGACCAGGCATGTTTTCACAAAGGGGGGTGACGCCAACGACGTTGATTCTTTGGGGGAGAAGTTATCACGAGGAGTATGTGCTGAGAGGGGACACACACGGGAGTTTGAGTTGAGCGATCGCTAAGATCGAGGAGACAACAGTCGCAGCACCACCTACAAGGTATCAGAATCCAAGTCATCGCCAATATGCCACACCATCTTACCCATATCCCCTCGCATGAGTTTCATTCCCTGAGGATATGGTTACGCCGTTAGAGAAGGACAATTTTCACTAAGCACTTACTGAGCTGGGTTTCAAGGAGATTCCTCCTGAATCGAAGGTGATACCTTTGCCAACGAATGCCAAAGGCTGGTCATTGGGTGAAGGGACACCCTTGTAATGTCTAGTATAGTGTTATCCGAGTCCAGAGTGCGCAACGAATGGAAGCTTACATCTCGAGGAATTTGGCAGGTTCATCAGTGCCCTTTGTTACCGAGAGGAATGTTCTCTAACAGAATCCGGTATAACTTCTCCAGCTGCAAGGACGAAGAAAACCAACTTACCATCCCCTTCTTGGCGGCCCAAGCTGAAGGGGACTTAGCATGGGACGCGAGACAAAAGAGAGACTCTAACCTTCGTCGTGGACAATTATTTCGACATTGTCGAGGCCCTCGAATTCAGCCTTTACACGCTCGGTGAAAGCCTACTCAGCATGTTAACACCATGTCATCCGTACTGACATCACCGTGCTTACAGTCGGAGTAACAATATTTGCGGGGAGTTCCATCAACTGATGAAGAATTACTGCACGAATCCGCGCTAGTTCGAATGAGAATTTACCGTCCGAGCAAAGTTCTGAGCCTTTGCATAGATAACACCACGATCCCATTCGGCCGAAGCTGCACTCGCTGTAAGGTTGAACTTTTCAGGCGCTGGTTTCATCGGGCGTGGATCGAAAGCCGACGGTGGGGAAGTTTTGAGGGTGAAATCATATAAAGCTAGGTGAGCAGCGACAGCTATGATACGCAAACGCTGTCAGAACGTTGCAGAACGAGTGGGAGACAGAAGTGTACCCGCAGCATGGGGATCGAGTGAAACATCAATGACGGCTTCCGATACACCCTCTCCGAGCGTCTTTACGCTCTTCACGCCACTGCCAACAGCCTTGCGGACAACTTCTCGACGGGCATTCCCTTTCTTGTCGGGGAATGCCTCACCGAGAGAAACGAGTGCAGTGACATTGTTCCCGGGGACGCCATAGAACAAATGTGAGGAGCCAACCTTTGCAGGCTTCTGAGAGGGAGGTAGTTTGGACCACAGCACAGCTGGATGGACTGTTGGGACCGCACTGGATGTAGGATTCTGGGGATCGATTGGAACAATGTAGGCCTTTGTAGACATGAGTCGTTGCAGAGATAAGGATCTAAATTGGACAGCTCTGCGTGCGACGAACATATGTAGTATCGGGATCCGGGACTTGGCCTGCGAGGCTGACGCGTGTTTTCACTTCTTCTCTGGTCATGTGATGCGAAGCGTGGTTGGAGAAACCATGATGCGGTACATCATGTATGGCATTTCCGCCGGAGTCCCGCCAACGAGAAAGACCACAATAATAGGTCCGCTTTGGCGCTTCTTGGGACAGTCAGGTAGGCATGAGGTAGGGCGTTAATTGAGAAGTTTCACACTCGCCCCGCACACTTATAAACAAGTGACTAAATATTTCCTTGCCGAGTGTAGAGGCTCTCAGGATGCCCTTCCAACGTACCAACGCCCCGCTCATCAAATGGACACTGTATAGTATTCACCTCAAATGCTATCAGTTGAAGACGTTGGCTTCGTGAGACTGCTATATATTCTAGCGAAGATGCCCGCAAAGTATGCTCTACCAACACTTATCCATCACTCGCGTATCCATTCTGTCTCTCCTTTTCCATTTTCTGTGCACTCTCATACCGCAACCCATTGTCACTGCGTGGTAGCCATACCCACTCCGTTACCCAACGATCAGGGGACTTAGGTCCCAAGGTGCAATTCACCGACCAAAACCATGTGCCTGCAGAAGTCCGTTGCCCATCGCGTGTGCATGGACGCTTTTGTGGGTGAGCTACTATTGATATCCTGTCAGCGCATGTGACCACAGAGGTTGGGCAGTGACACCCTCATTAGTAGGTAGGTCTCTTTCATTGTAGTGGCCTTGCTTTTCCCCTACGAAGACGATACACCACGCCAAGAATCATCTCCGAGCCACCAATACTGCCTCAAAAAGACACCGTCAGATAAAGTGAGAACATGTGTGGGGAATTATTTTGGCTTCTGGCAGGGCACCCATTTATTAAGAATATACTCCTTGAGGAGTGACTACCATCTGAAGATGTGAGTTTTCTAAGGTTCTATTTACTGCGGTTCTTTGCTCATTACCTTTTGCAGTCGGCTATCCACACGCCCTCGCTGCTAAATGCACTCGAGGAACACAAGTTGCCGGAAAACATCGTCGGGGGTCCAACGCATTCTCGCGAGTACTGTCGGTTAGTACTATCCTTTCTTATTGTTGTCGCGAAAAGAGAAGGGTGATTTCACGATACTCATTATGACATAGCGTGGTACCCAGCTCGTGACGTGGATGTTCAACATAGGGCAGGAGAGGCCAATGTTGCGGGTTACCTAAAAGTTGGAATTTCCTGTGGCTCGCTCACCAAAAAGCACGATGCCTGCCCAACCTCCGACTGAGCAGCAGCGGAACCACGCTGATTTTCCGTCAGTTCCAATTTTGAGGAAAATTCCACGACTCCTGGTTCCAGGTGGGAATCGGCCACCTCTCACCAGCGATTGTGCCTGCACAGTGTGCAGAGGTAATTTTCCATCATCCCTCGCAATTGTGACATCAGCACTGAGCTCAGTTACGTGTTGTGTAACAGATAGTGGTCACATCAACTGAGGATCGAAGTTGACCGACAGACCCTCGCCCCCCCTGGTGAGTATGTTCCTTTTCCTGTATCAAAGCACGACTAGAACCAGCGAGGATGGCACCAAAGGATGTCACGCTCTCTTTACGTAGTTCCCAAGATTTCGGGCACTGATACTTCTTATTAGTATGTACTTCACACGTTCGCTTCCAGACGTTCAGCATCTTATGCCTACCATCACAGCATTACCCTTTCAAGTGCCAATAGTGGTAGTTCAACTTTAGAACGTCACGTCCGCAAGCGCAAGGGTCCGTTTGACCAAACAGATGCACACTTGCTGTGTTTAGCTATGGGACGTTATAGCTTGAAGCTGTTGGATGCATTCTAGATCACCCCCTGTGCGAAAAGGGAGTGTGGTAAACAGTCCTCGAATGCCGATCCCCAAGGGTCCAAAGCTCCGGCTGCTGCCTTGAAACGATGAAATTCAACCGGCACACTTGATATCGTTCGAGGAGGTCACTCTTGGAAGACAATCGAATTCCCGTGCTCGTGCTCCCAGCTACGCTACCTTGGCCCTAGGTGGCATCCTGTGGCATATGCATGCCTGCCATTACAATAAGGTGAGCGTCGCAGGAAGCACTTACATATATTTTGCCATGTCCCTATGCACAAGGCCGCAGCCCGAGCCGAGCTTGTTGTGTAGAGCCCGGCGGCTCGGCTCATGGCTCGGCCCGAGGCTATGAGCCCTCACAAGCTGAGCCGGGGCTACGCTAAATCCATTTATTTGCTGTCTAGTCTAGTGGCACTATCTGATATTATAAGTGTGGATTGTGGCGTCGGTGTCCCCGTGTGGCCTCCGTGCGCCGGTGCCGTCTTTTGAATTGCTTTTGGGGCGGGGCCCCGCGCCTTCGTCGATGTACATAGCTCTTCTAATGTTGTCGTTTATATTACGTCGCGCGCACGTCGCTCGCATCTAGGAACTACATAATGAATATGCACACTCCTATCTGTGTGAGTTGCGTGTTACTTGAAAAAGGCAGTGTTGGTACGAGCGTCAGTATTACCTCCGTAAAGGGTGCTCTCGACAGTTTCCCTTGTATGATGTCAGCTTGCGTAGTTTACACAACTCGGTCCAAATGCTCCAAGTTCATTGTCGTTAGAAACGCAACAGGTGCGCTTACTATGATGGCTTTGTACAAGCTTGTACTTGGCCCCTTCATCAACCATGCTGGCAGATCGGGCAGCTACTTACCTTGTCACAACAACTGCACCACAGCTGACGAGTTGACAGCCCGCAACCAACCTTCCCTGTTACTCTTATATGTGCCGCAGCAGACAGATCAAAGATGGGCCTCTTATGCTTCCATCGCGTTGTCCGATAAGAAGCCTATGACATGTTTTTTTTCGGCCCAAGTTGCCTGTTATCCCAATGGACTCACATGTGATGCTGCGGAACGTTCACCTTCACAGTTGTCTTATGACGATACCGAAAGTTGGTCAAGACACGTTTACTTCCGGGTTGCCAAGTAATATGCAAGGATTGCAAGCCCCGCAAAGCTTTTGAGCAGCGTGTAAACCACAGTAGGAAACACCCTGATTACATTAGGAAGTTTTTCAGAAACAAGCTGGGAACCATCCCTTGCTATGGCGGGCAGTCATCAAGTAGGAGTGGCAGAATGTGCTGGCACTTTGCAAATCAAAAGAGTGGCGTTCACTGACGAAGACCGAAAGAGCTCGGACCTACACAGCGAACGCCACGTTGTTCACACGGGATAGTTTCATGTTTTTATTTTTTATTTTTATAATCCTCCTTGAATCTTCGCTGGATAGGTGTGGAGAAAGTGACAAGGACAGACGACCAGCTGGTCGTTCCTTTTACTGCCAGGGTTTCGACCGTTTCAATACATAATGAAGTGTATGTGATGGCAGGTGTTACTCATTTGGCCTACATCTGACAAGACATATGGCAGCAACAACTCTGGCCATGAGCCCCATCAGTAAATCACTTTTGCTGGCCAGAGCTGGCCAGAGCTGTCCAGCACTGGACAGATTCCCTAGGACTACCAGTTCACAAAGCAGTCTACTGATGCCTCACAAGCTGAGCCAGGACTATGATAAATCCATTTATTTGCTGTCTAGTCTAGTGACACTATATACAAAATAGCTGTGGCTACAGAGCCAACAAATCACAATTAAAATATTCTTGATGCTGAAATCTTATAGAGTAGGGTGAATATGTGTAGATGAAATACTTAGTTACAAGATATTGAGGTGCCAAGCATCAGGCCAATGTCTGACCCATTTTTACAATTATTAGTCACTTGTACCAGAGATCTAGTCCAATCCAGGCATCCAAATTTATGGTTTACAGGGAGAAAGTTATGCTATCAAGAAGCACTCATCAAGTGTGACAGAAGAGTGATAAGTAGGGTGTTGTGGTTGTGTTGCGCTGGTGCCAGTGACTGTTCAAACATTCATTGCCAATGGTGTCACCTGGCCAAGTACAGTACACTTGCTCATAATGCATACTAGTTGCATGAGCCATTTCCCTATGCAATATAACACTAGAGGATAGGGCTGTTGGGGACGGCAGGCACCTTGTTTACAGACATGCCATTGATTCCCATAATTTATGGCTAGCAATCAATATTTGTACCAGTCTAACTTTTTCATTGCAGTGCTGTCAGAGGTCTCGCCCCTTTCTCGCCATGTTGGCATTGCCACCCATGCTCTAAATGCAGCCCATCTCCCATCCTTTCCTCCACTCCATCACCTCATTATATGCTAATGAATCATTGACAATGTGATATTATTCTTCAGAGGCTTTGGTGGGCATCTTCTAAATTTCCCCACTTCTGATGAAGCACCAATTGGAGAGATGATCCCTTCAGATAATGAGTGCATGCACAGGAATGTCAGTATCAGGAACTCACATGTTGTTGTTGAACACAAATGAATAGCCATCCAGAAAGGCAGGATATATGCTGCATATGTACCCACCCAGTAACCACATGACATTGATGACCCCCAAGCACTTGAGGATGTAGTGGACTTCATGAGATTGTGATGGAGATCAGACATTTGAAGCCATAGACAGCTGACATCAGTCAAATTGCAGGGCATACACCTGCAACTGTAAGGCAAATGATGATACTCTTTGCATCTGCCAAACTTGAAACCACATGTAGCATATTTCTACTCAGAGAATGTTAATGCATGATGGAAATGAGAAAGACATACCTTTGCATTCTAGCTTCATGGACAAGTAACACATCTGGCACAAGGGCATGTAAATATCTAGGTCTGAGGGTGTACAGTGGTTGGTGATAGCTGATGCCATGCCCTGCATACCAAAGGTGATGCAGAAAGTGCAAGACAAGGTGGGTTCTGGGGAGCTTACACCCTTCAATGCATACATGGCATTGTTGCACAGCTGGGGCAGGGATACAATTTGACTGTTGTGCAATTTTGATGAAAAGATATTCACTCAACATCTGGGCAAATATCTGTGACAAGAGGACCAAAGGCTTGTGGCTCTCAATTGTAAGACAATGTTAGACTGGGAAAGAGCCAAAGTGACATAGATTGCACTTGCACCAAACTAGAGTACAAAGACACATGCCTTCAAATCACTGCCACCATCAATTGGTCTTCATCCACATATAAACTCTTGGGCTTGGAGTTCGAACAGATGAACAGGGACAGTCTAGGCACACAATTGTACATGGGCACATGCCTTCAATTCACTGCCACCATCAATTGATCTTCATCTGCAAGTTAACCACCTTTACATTTGAGCTCATTACAATTGTACATAAATGCAAGTACATAAATGTGCACCAACAAATCTTTGCCCATGTGACTTGAATTGGACCTTGTAAAGGGGAATGTTCATGGATGTTGAAAAATGAGCAATGAATTTCAAGGTGCAGTGACCTTGTAAACAAGGTGAAATATGTAGGATGAAATGCTGACATAATGTGTGACCTTTGTGACAGTTGTAACTACAAGACAGTCTACAACTTCCAATAGCTAGTCAACATCGTTTGCATCACATTCCACAATTCCTTGCAATGCATCTCTCCACAAAACTGTTATGCCCGAGTGCAGTGACTTCTTCAAATGGAATAGGCATGAAGCGCTGTCACACACCAAAGGTGTTTGGTGAGGTGGACATGGATGTAGCTGATGAATGGAGGTGAAGACCATAGCCCTCATGCAAAGAAGGACAGCCAGCAATGTTGGCAGTCATCCCTCACACAAGAACAAGTTGTCAATGCCAAAGAAAAAGGAGGAGGCAAGTTAAGTGCCAATAAAATTCTTAAGCGCCCATGTATGGCATTCCAGTTTTCGACATATCTCCACCAATTCTGCAGACACCGAAACCATTCCCACACTTGCTTGTAGTGCTCAGCCATGCGATCCTACCTTCCAGGATTGGAAAGGATTTGTGCACTCCACACGTTTCTACAGCACTCCCTCCAAAAGATGCTCATTTCGCTAATTCTTCTGATATGGCTGCCTCCACATCAGTCATTTCGCTTGTCCCCTTTGCTAGGGACCATGGCTACATATATCTACCAGGAGTTCCTACCAGCTTCTGTCCTGAAGCGTCCTGGTACATCCCACCCTCATCTGCCCCCTCTCAGCCCATCCAGCTTGGACAGCGTGTTCTTTTTGTCGGTGTGACCTCCAGGAGGATGTTCTTTGGTCGCCTCAGGTCTGTCATTCGCTTGGAAAGGTCTTATGTGGTCGTTTCAGTCTCTCCAGTCCAAGAAGCATATGGATCCTTCCTCCCTGCCCCCTGCAACATCTTCATACCAGTCTCGTCCATCATTCTTCCAAAATTGCGACAGCTACAGTATAATCTACTGTTCTCCACTCTCCCTGATCGCATCCATGACGAGTATGATGCACATCTTGCCTCCTTGTTGCAAGATACAGCAGAAGACGCTCCCCCTTCATCCTCTCTTCCAACAGAGCCTCGTTCATGAAGTTTTTATTTGCTTCACTGAGAGGATGGTTTGGGGGGGAAAGTTGCGATCCCCTATGCTCCTGTCACCCCACAGACCCCCAAAGCTTGACCCCTGTTGACATCTGACTCACCCTGTCTGCTTTTGGATGTACTATATCAGCATCAGATCAGCGCTGCCTCTCTGTCATCCCACTTTGGCCTAGAAGCGATCTCTTCAAGATGTGACATGCACAGCCTCCCCCTGATGTGATTCCAGTGCACTTTCCCAGTTCCTGACATTGCTTGACTCATACTGTGACATTCTGACTGTCTTTGACTCACCTATTGCCAATACTTACCAATCTTTTGACTTTGCTTACTGATTCTTTGCTTTTTGGCTTACTTATCCTTACCAATGCTTACCAATGCTTTCCAAGACAATTACCCATCACTTACATTCCTTACTCATCAGTTACCAATCACTTACCAAGTGTTTGCACCTTGTTTTCCATAGGCGACGCCCCTGTACTGTATATAAGTCACTGTGCTTAGGTAGCAAAAAAAAGAAGAAGACATCAGAGAGCCCCTCTTGCTCGCAATTTATCATCTCTCAGTAAATCATTCATCAGCTTCGATAGTTGAGACTTTATTAAGGGTCTAGCTATCATCTACTTTGCTTATCATCATCTATCATCCATATACTTCACTCCAAGCCCTCCCTGAGCTCAGTACAGCTTAGGACATCAAATTAAGTCACCATCCATCCTTCTGTAGGCTGACAGCAGTCTACCCTATCACTTTCTATCACATTCTTGCTCCCTCTTTGTCAGGAGCACCCCCAACCCTCAGCACTCATCTTTGAGTGTTGTAGCTCGCAAAAACCCTCCCAAAGAACAGGTTCTACCATCTAGGTACCGCATAGGCACACCACCACTCATTTTCATTGTCTTTTGTGTTGGTTTTGGTTGGTTTTCACCACTGAACCTCACTTTGACTCACAGCGTGTGAGGTGGGAGTCTACAGGCTGAACTTATCGTAACCCCTATGGCTGAGTTATCACAATAATCCGACAGAGGTTCTGTCTGCTGGTGAGTCCCTAAGGTTGTTTGCACAGAGAGAGAACAAGGATGAGAGCGAAGGGATGAAGCTCAGTTGCAAGCTATCAAAAAACTGCAGATACAGGACAAAGTACATAGGATTATATACCCCTAAGTACGAGTACCATACCAGTTGCGACAGACATGTCGCGACACGTATCTGCAGTAATCAACAAAATGATCAGTGAAATAAATAAGAGTCATATGGTGTCAGTGATGGGGGTAGGGAGGCAATGAAGGCTATACTGGCTGGCACAATCAATGTGCAGCGAGGAGCCAGACACTGGAACTATAATACAACAAGTGAGCAATATAAATGAGTCAGAAACGAGTCAATGGAACAAGAAGGGAACAAGTCATCCATCAGAGAGGGTGGTGGAATACTGGATCACAATGGCAACACAGTCTTGACAGGTATTGGAAATACCTTGACAGCAGGAGATCTGTACGTTCCCTGGAGCATTTGAGCCCCTAAGATGGCAACGATTATGAGAGACGTGACAAGGCCATGATGCATGTGACCGCGAAGAGTCAAAAAAGGAAAGACCCCTGATGGAGGTGTAACATCACCCCCCCTCTAAGGTCCTCAGACCCTTGAGGATGGGCTGGAAGTCACATTGGTGGGACGGGCAGGATAGGGGTCAGCGAGTAGTGAAAATGCAGGGGCATGTGCGAGTGGCGACAGGTGATGGAGGTGATGGAGTCTATGACTCTTCGAAGGCCGGAGTATAGTGGGAGCCACGTCCATTGTGGCAAGACCAGTGTCCCAAGTAATGGCACTGGTAACAGGTGTGGGGATGAAGGGGGTGTCCGTCAGGCATGGGAGACTGTCCTCCAAGGTAGAAACAAAGTTGATCCGAAGGGATGGGGACAAAGGGACACACAGGGAGAGGGTTGGCAGCGTAGATGGTGTTGTGATATTGTTTATGCATGCCAGCCCAAGAGGCATCCTGCAATAAGGTCTCCCAAGTGGAGTTGTGAGTCCCAGTTCCCAGACAAGCACCAACCTCTTTAAACAGTTCTCCAGAGTTGACAAACCCTAACTCCATAGCATGCCAAGCCTTCTCCTTGTCTTGATCAGTGATCTTCTTTTTGCCCGAAACCAATGGTTCCTCTTGTTTTGGGTGAATTTGATCAAGAAGTCTGGTGGAAGGTGGTGCAAGATACCCATCAACTTGAGAAGTTCGAAGATGATGGTAGGCTCCTCTGGTTATGGCCTCAGAGATATCTGAAGATCCCTTCTCCAGCATGTTGATCATGATTACCTCCAATAAAGGGGCAACCCCAGCAAGCTTCTGCGTACATATTTTGGAGATGGCTGCATTAATTAAGTCTGTCGCTCGGTAGATCTGAGACAACAGCCTAAAATATTCAACCTGTTCTGGTGTGCACCCATCAATGTGGTCCCCATCATGGAAGATGTCAAGTGCCCGAACAATGTCCAGGTAGTCACCTGCTGCGATTGGTAGTCACAGCTGGTCATCCCTGGCAGCGGCTGCACTGGTGAGGAGGTTGAGGGTGGCAAGTTTGGCATGTCTGGGGTAGGTAGGGAAGGTGGTGCGTAAGTTGGAAGGTTGGGGAGCATCAGTGGGATCCTTGTTGGCAGGTCCACTATCAGAGTCATGGTCAGTGTGTGCCTTACCCTTTCCCTGCTGGTTACTGTCCTCACTGAGGGGGACTCTGGCCTTTGGGATCGGGACACATCTAACCGAGAGGCCCTGGAGTGGACACAGTTCTCAAGTCCAGGGGACAAGGGGCGATAGTGGATGGGGCTGTGACAGCAGTGAGGAGTACCCAGAGACACGAAAGTTGGCAGGGGATGTTGGAGGTGAGGTTGTGGCATAGATAGTGATGGGGGGAATGAGCTCATCATCGTCAGTGTTGTGAATGGATTCTGAGGCACGAGGGAGGTCGACATAGTCATTTTTGGTGTTGACTGATCAAGGGGAATCCATTAATTTTTGAGGTGTCAGGTGAGTTTGTACTGGTCAAGTGCTTCTGACATGTGATCTTTTATATGTTCTTCAGGTTCCCAAGTATTAGATGAATGGGGGAACCCTTTCCACTTGACCAGGTACTGCCTCTTTCCTTGTCGACCATCAACCTTGTGATTGATTATCGACTCAACCTCCCACTCAATTTCATCATCCACCAATTCTGGAAGGGGTGCTGTGGGCACAGCCCCATAAGTATCGTTTTCGGTGAAAGGAAAGATCCGAGAGGCATGGAACACAGGGTGTACCTTCCACGTTGGTGGTAACTCCAATCAGAAGGTGATGGGTGAGACAACCTGAGTCACTTTGAACAGCCCAAGACATCAGGGTGCAATCTTGTCACACTGGTTCTTGATACGAAGATGCCCAGTAT